AATATGAGACCCCCCGTTCTGGCACTGTCATTCCTGGGCACAAGCAGCTCCATAGAACCCAGGAGCACAGGCTGCAGGAAACACGCAGAGGGATCATCAGGGCCCTCACTCAAAGTCAAGCAAGCCCACCCATGCTTACACACAGCTGATGGCTGCTCAGAGAGCAGAAGCTGTGTCTGTGCTGTGCTGAACAAGGAGCCGGGGCTCCAAGAGCTTTGCCCCAAGCCAACCTTCAGATGCTCAGGCTGTAGTTAAACTCATGCTGCCAAAAAAGAGCAGCACAATGCGTAGCCTTTCCCTTCCTGCTCCCTCTTGGGAAGCCCCCAGCCTGCCACTGCAGGCAGCCAGCTCTTGGGAAGCGGTGCACATGTGCTGGCTAGGAAGCAGTGGAGTAGAAGTCAGTGTTACCTTCGCTGCAGTTGCTGCCAATCCAGCCAGCGTCACACAGGCATCCAGCTGTGCAAATACAAACAGGCATTAGCAACAACAGAGAAAGGCTTGGAAACAGCAAGAACTTCAAATTAGGAACCTCTGCTTCTGGGGGGTCCCTCTTAACTCTCCCTGCCAGGGAACAGGAATCCTCAACTCACAGATTAGATTCAAATACGCACCCACTGCAGCTGCAAAACACAGCAGAACCTCCCACTGCTTGGATCTGAGTCATTAAGTCAGGGTCAGCAACACTGAGCTCTGTCCAGTCACTTCCACTGCACCGAGTGTGGAACCAGGGAGGCAGCACAGAAATGGGAGAACGGGACTGAGCAGGCACAGAAAAGCAGGAGCTGGGGGTGAACATCACAGCAGTCCCTAGTCAAGGCAAGTTCATGGCAGAGTGGCAACTGCACACTTGGGAAAATCATGATGCAGGAGAGTCAGGTAAAGAAAGAACAAGGCCGGGGGGAGCAGAGCTCAGTGTTAATACACTGCCCTCCACATCAGCAGGTTTACAAACAAACCAGGAGCAAAACCCATGGGACAGAAAGGGAAACTGAGACATCGCATTTGAAGTCGAGCCCTGCTACGGGTCCAGTTTCCAGACCCGAGCCCCAGCCCTGCTGCAGCCTCCAAAGGCAATGTGTTCCCATCGGCTCTACTGCTGCTTGGGATGCTGGAGGGGGAGGGCAGAGCAGGTCAAAACACCCAGGTCAGACAAGGGCTGAGGCACATAGCACCAGCTGGCTTCCAGCGCATGAGCTGGCCACACATCTGCACCTCCAGCCCCAAAAAGGCTATGCGCTACCTCTCCAAAGAGGCAAAGGAAGTGGCTGCTGCTGGTGCCAGTTGCTGTGAGCTCCACTTCCACACACCAGAACAGGAAAGGGCTCTCTGAAGCAGCCAGGGCTGTGCACAGTGATGTGCTGAGGCTGCCCATGGTGCCCACAGGCAGGTGAGCGCTCTCCCTTATGTTTGTGCTTTCCCTAGAGCTACCCACGAGCACCCACTGGCATCTATCTCCGTGTCAGAAGTACCACAGGGACTCACAGTCGGTGCAGACGCCGTGCAAGCTGCAGTTGGAAGGCCCACAGTCCAAGATGTCACAGGCTGGACCTCTCCAGAAGGCCCCGGTGCAGTGGCACTGCCCCTGGACACAGGCCCCGTGGCCGCTGCAGTCCGCGGGCTCGCAGCCAGGCTCGTGGATGCACACGATGGTCGAGATGTTTCGGGGGCAGCGCCACATGCTGTCAAAGGAGCTGGGGACAGAGACAGGTCCCCTGAGGCACGCAGGCACCGTGCTGCTCCCAGCCCCGCACAAAACCAGCTGATCTAATCCACGTTTTCATCCCAATTCACATTGGCAAACACTGATAATGGGAAAATACAAATGTAAAACTGAGCTTGAGTCAATGTCTTAACTAAGTGTTGGCTCCTATGGGGTAGGAGTCCTGTGAAACACAGCATTACAGACAGCAACATGCAAAGTCTCCCTCTCAGCAGTTGCAGCTTCCCCAACTTTGGCCTTTCCTTGAGTATTTTCTGCTTTGCTGTAAGTGATGTCATTGCAGTTACAGCAACACTTGGCTTTCTTCTGTAAGAAGTTCTTCCCTGTGAGGGTGCTGAGGTGCTGGCACAGGGTGCCCAGAGAAGCTGTGTCTGCCCCATCCCTGGCAGTGTTCAAGGCCAGGTTGGACACAGGGGCTTGGAGCAACCTGCTCTAGTGGAAGGTGTCCCTGCCCGTGGCAGGAGGTTGGGACTGGATGAGCTTTAAGGTCCCTTCCAACACAAACCAGTCTGGGATTCTACAATTCCATTCTATGAACTATCAGACTGCAAACAGAATTTCAAATTCCTTTATGCTTATAGTCAGAAATTACTAAAAAACTAAATCAAAAGTTAAATACTCTTTAGGTTCCCTCATGTGGGGCAGGGCAGGGTCTCCAAGTCAGTGTTTCTTTTCCACAATAATAAGCTGTTGACAGATCTCCACTAATTCCTGTGCACATGCAGCTCAGAGTCTCCCAGTCTGAGCTGTTCTTTATGTGACTCCCACACCGGGCCACTCAGACACGGCAGCAGCTTTGCTGCATGTCTGAAAACAGCTAAACTGTAATCCTGAGTGACTAAGTGGAAAAAAATATGTAGTCACTAAATGACTTTAGAGTCTCTCTGCCCTGATGCTGCAGAGCAGAGGCAAGAGCCAAGCTCTTCACCCTGACAGGAGCTGCGGGGTTACTCGTGCCACCAGCACCTACCAGTGCTCAGAGGGGTAGCTTGCCAGGGTTCCATTCAAGACCAGCGTGGCAGAGCCTCCCCCATCCAGGTTGATAGCATTGATGAGTCCCTGCTGCTTCAGAAATTCAGCCATTTCCCAGAGGTTGACCCTGCAAAAGCAAACACTTGTTTGTTGCTCTGTTTGGCTGCAATGAATCTGCTCTACCAGGAGCCTGGTCCCTCTGCGCAGTGGAAGGGGGAAGCTCTCTCATCCCACATAAGCTGACTCACTGCCTGGAGGCTGCACTGGCCTCTTCTGGCTCTGCCCGAAGGACACCAAACAGCAGTGCCTTCAACTTGAGCTCCCTAAGTCCCCACCTTAAAACACATCCCTGGCAGCTGCAGGTCCCTCAGGTTCCAGTGACAGGATTTAAAACCCCATCTTGCACCTGCCCCAAGACCCTTCCCCAGCCCTGGCCTTACCCTCTGGATTCTGTCTGTCCATCCACATGAACCAACACCAGCTGCCCCTGACTGTCGTGTCCAACTGCAGTCCTGGCTGATATCACATTGATGAACTTGTCAAAGGTTCCTGTGAGGAGAGGGAATAATTCACACACCACTAGGGTGACAGAACCGGCCGTTGAGACAGATCTGGCTGTGAAACAGCTCCCAGCAAGGAGCTTGTCTGAACTGAAACACCGGAACAGAGCCCAGGTTTGTTCCTCTTGTTCATCCAAGCCCATCAGAGGAACAACCCATGCCCAGGCTGAAGCCAGGGGTTGCAGGATTTACCTGTGGTTTGAGTGTCACTGCACTCAGCCAGCTGGCTCTGACTGACGTACACTTCTCCACCTCTCAGGAGCCAAACTACCCCGCTCACAAGCTGCACAAAAGGGTTTGCTTGATCCAAGACATCTTCCTCAGAGAGGTAACTAGGAAAGAGCAGGATGAGCAGGATGAGTGCATCCTCAGTGAGTGTGCAGATCGCACCAAGTTGGGTGGGAGTGCTGGTCTGCTTGAGGGTAGGAAGCTCTACAGAGGGACCTGCCCAGGCTAGGTCCATAGGCTGAGGCCAACTGTATGAGGTTCAACAAGGCTCAGTTCCAAGTCCTGCACTTAGGTCACAACAACCCCATGCAGCGCTCCAGACTTGGGGAAGAGTAGCTGGAAAGCTGCTCATGGAAAAGGACCTGGGGGTGCTGGTCAGCAGCAGCTGAACACGACCCAGATTGTGCCTACGCAGCCACGAAGCCAACAGCATCTTGGCTTGGATCAGCACCATTGTGGCAGCAGGATCAGGGCAGTGATCATCCCCCTCTACTGGGCACTGATGAGGCCACACCTCAAATCCTGTGTTCCGTTCTGAGCCTCTCATGAAAAGAGAGACATTGAGGTGCTGGAGCAGGTCCAGAGAAGGGCAACGGAGCTGGTGAAGGGTCTGGAGCACAAGTGTGATGAGGAACGGCTGAGGGACCTGGGGGGATTTAGTCTGGAGAAGAGAAGGCTCAGGGGAGACGTTACTGCTCTCTACTGAAGGGAGGTTGTAGTGAGGGGAGGGGATGTCAGTCTCTTCAACCCAAGTAACAAGCGATAGGCTGAGAGGAAATGGCCTCAAGTTGTGCCAAGGGAGGTTTAGGTTGGATATTTGGTAAAGCTCTTTTGCCACAAGGCTTGTCAGGCTCACACAGGAGCTGAGGGCTGCAGGTGAGGATCAGAGCTCTGGCAGAGCAGTGTGGGTGCCAGCACGGTGGGTCTCTGCCACCAGCTGCCTGCTCAGAAAACAGAGGGTGAGACCTTCTTCAGAACACTGGAAAGAGCCTTATGTTCATGGGCCCAGAACTTCTGGGGGACTTTAACCACCCTGGCACGTGCTGAAAGGGCAACACAGCAGAGCACAGGGGAACCATATGTCTGGATTTCTACTTAACAGCGAGCAGCTTAACATGAGACAGTTTTTTACTGTCAAGGTTGCTCAACCACAGGAACAGGTCTGCCCAGCCAGGTTGCCGAGTCTCTGTCCTTGGAGATGTTCAAAACCTGACGGGACATGACCCTGAGCAACCTGCTCCAGCTAAGCCTGTGCTGAGCAGGGTGTTGGATGAAGCACCTCCAGAGTCCCTAACAACCCCAAGGCTTCTGTACTGCAGCTAGAGCAGTTAAGCAATCCGTTCTGCCTCTCCTTTGTGGGGAGAGAGACCTCTCTCCTTTCTACCATGATCAAAGTGTATCTGCTGCATGTTGATAGGGGAGACACAGGAAGCTTCTCTTCATCTTGGGAAAAAAAGGCCAATGGCCAGAGAGAGCTCCATGGGGTGCAGGCTGGACATCCCTCACTTCAGCACTGAAAGCATGCTTCTGCTCTTATCTGGGAGGGGCCAAGGAGGCAGTGCCAGGGCTGCCTGCCTCAGTGGTGCTCAGTCCTCAGGGAGGAAAGAGCACTCCAAAACAATCCCCAGGTTCTTACCCGAACACCATGGTGCCATCCTTCCGGATGCCAAACTGAGCATTCTGCAGGCCTCCCGAGTTTCTCACCAGCTTCCCATCGCTCACAACGTTCCCAAGGCACTCTCCAGTTCCCATGTCAAAGTAGCCACCGTTCTGGGCCACCAGACACCTCCCGAGCCTTGCGGTCTCTTCCACAGTCACCCTACGGTGAGCCTGGCAGCCCCCTGTGCCACCCGGCTCTAGCACAGAGACGGTCCTCAGGGGGTTCCTCACAAAAGTGAAGTGGCCATAGACCGCCCT